TTTCTATGCTTTTCATATAATCAGTATCTCTATTGAGAGTTCTGTAGCAATATACAAACTTTTATTATCACAGTCATGATAGATTCATTTACATACGATGATAGCGAAATCAAAAGTAGAGGTGAACCATAAGGATAAAGGAATAATAAAACACTACAAGGGTTTGGATGTTGGTTTGTAGCTATTTATTCCACACTCACACCCACTCCGAATGGTTCACATTACAAGAAAATCTTCTTGTAATAGAATATCTTTTAAATAATTTCAAAACATACAAACATATTGCGTGATATTTAGAATAATTGAAGAAAAAACCTTTTTATTGACTCTGAGATAAGATCGAAATGTTGTGTTGCAAGAGTAAGTCAGGTCGAAAGAAAAAATCCAATAGCATGTGCGCTGAAAAAAAAGATATTAAAAAGACTCATATTTCTACAGCAAAAATTGGTGTATAACACATATTTGCCAGTAAGCTTGTTTCGCTTTTTTCTTAAGAAATATGTAAAAATTATATGTGATTCAAGCTAGTAGAAATAATTGAAGTATGAAGCAAGAGTTTAATTCATGATCTTTTTACTTTTCGAACAATTGAGATAAATGAATCATAAGATAAAGAGACAGTGAAACCCAGTTTGCATAGATTGAATAGTATACATTTTATTCCACAGAAGATGAATGCTTGCATGGAATAAAATTTTAATTCTAATTTCTCATGAACAAACCATATTGAATGAACAGTTGGGTTAATCATACAAAATGGTTATAAGGAGTTTTCAACTACCTACTCGAAAATATCGAACAGACAATATTTTTTAATAAAGATGCAAACAACATAAATAGTAACTATTCAGTGTCCCAGAAATAATGGCCAGCTTTACTGATTTGAATACCTCAAACGAAGGCACAAATGTACGGTGCCAGCAATTCAAAAAGTGAGCAAAAAAATTAACAGAAATGTTTACATGGTTAGATACAGCTCGTCGAACTCTATATAATTACTTATATCGTACATTTAGAAAAGTAACATTATATGAACAGTAGAAAAAATAAACCAAAAAAACTCGGGTACATCAAGACCATCGAGTCTCTCAGTGAAAATCTGATGTTTTAGACGAACCTTCCACTTCTTCCAGAAAATTCGAATAAAATCGATTAAAAAAAATCTGCGTCACTAATTCTTCTGAGTCATCCCGTTTGTAGCCAGGTTTTCATCCGCAATCGATTATAATCTCGTTAATGAATTAAAATTGAAAAGAAAAAATCGAAGTTAGGGATTTTCATTTGATTATCCATGATGCCTGGCATCATAAATTCATTTTAATGTTCAATTGATTTCAAAAAGTAATAATGAAGTAAAGTCTATTATTTTCGTAAGAAGAAAGCACGCATAATATGAGCCCAACCTGTGAGAATACCAATTTCAAGACCACTTTATGGGCACAGAGGTATTATATAGAAAAGGTAAAATAATGCACAGAATTGATTAATATTGACATTGGCGTAGCCAGAAATCTTCAAATCATGACCAGTTTCCCAGCTAAACTTTTATGAAGAGTGGGCACCGATGAGTGATTAAAAATCAATTGGATTAAAATTTTTTTAACTTATTGCCATCATAAAAATCGATATTATTGAAAAGAAGGTCGTTACTCTCAACTAAGAGGCGAGCTCGTTTGCTTTTGTGAAACACGATCTAAAAGAAATATTGAAGTGTTAAGTGGTAGAAATTTGAACCTCTCAATGCACAGAAAAAGAGGACTACCCAGACGAACAAAAAAATGTCAGAGAACGCCCAACATGCCTAAAGAGTGTTTTGCAAAAGTTTCGATCCCTCTCAGTAAATCGATGATATCTACAATAAACTTCTATGAAGTTATTCATCAAATTATACCATTATGTAGAAAAAGATTGGAACTACGATCTAAAACACCAATCTGGTTCGAGATACTAAAATCTATTACAATGTTATAGTCATTTTACTAAGATTCAGTGAAAATTTTTACGTTACATTTTTTGAGGCAACAAAATATGTTCGTGACATCCTAAGCGATATATTGTTTCCTAGATATTTTTATATGGTTGAGTAGAGTTCGACAAGCTTTTCGAGAATATGAATGTTTAAAAGAGTTTTGATCTTATTTTTAATATAAAACTTGAGAAAAACCAGAAAGACTAGTCACAATTTCATGTATCAAATATTCGAGAGAGTAAGGTGAACTTTTAATAGTTTTAGCTGGTTGAGTACTCGATCATCCAAAGTTATTGAGAGTTTAGCATACTATATCGCGCAACATATATGAGATTTCTATTAAACTACGTGGTTGCTTTCGAGTTTTACATTGGAAACAGGGTTCGATTTTTTCTTGATATTTATATTCTTGTAAAGATTATCGAACTCTATCGACCCATATAAAAATATCTATTAAAAACATATAGAAAATAAAATGTCGCTCGGCTTTAACGATTCAAATATCAAAGATTTTTTTGCTTTTTCAAAAAAAAATATAACGATAAAATTTTCATTCAAGATTTGTAAAATGAACATAATATTCTAATAAATTTCTGTTTCGCACCAAGCTTTTTCAGATGATAGCTTTAGTTTTTCTTTACAAAATGATATAATTCGATCAATAACTTCATATAAGGTTGTTGTAGATATCATCGACTTACTGAGAGCAGTCGAAGCTTTTGGAGCATCCTTTAGAAAAATCGTGCAACTTGGTGTATTTTTATGAACAAGAAAATTACTAAAGTATGAAAAAAATCATTTTCCATCATCAAACAAAAAGCTTTCCCCTTTTATCTTTTTTTGCTGTCATACTTTGCATCAAATTTATAACTGGATAAAGATATGACATAAGAATTTTATTAGTGTGACTTGTACACCAAAATGAAATAAAACTTTCGTGTCATATCTCTATTCATTAATAAATTTAATACAAACTTTGTATTACAAAGTTTAACATCATAAAAAGATAGAGAGACGAAAAATTTTTATTTGGAAATGTACGTCTTACAAGAGAACCTATGGATAAATTTTTCAAACGTTTAAGTCGTAAGAAAAAGCCAAAGAAACGATTTTAACATGAAATGACCAATCTAAAACCTGAGGTTGGTGTAATGTGCTGCTTATTTATCTATTCGAAATTTGATGGGCTAGAACATGAGTGATCACCGTAGAAAAATTGACAACAAATTTCGATAGAGAATTACATTTGAGACACTATATCTCAACAAGGGTTTAAACGCAAATCTTTGCGTATTCATTAAAGATGAATGATGACATGCTATACCAAATAATAAATTAAAACTCGAATTAAAGTTCCGAGACAATGTGAGAAAATAACTGAATTAGGAAACAGTATTTTTTTTTATTATACTGAGTGTAAGTTTTTGATCTTATTATAGCCTAAAGAACTTCAAAAAGTCCAAACTGACTGCAATATATAGTCAATACATTATACTGTGTAACTAAATAATAACTAATAATTATAATTAGATCCTCAACTTAAAACATACAATTTACTTATGTGATCCTAGTATTGATACTCACCAATTTTATGTACTTTGTGGCACCTGCTGTATAACAGACACTCACTATAAAGCAGCATCTAGAATGCACTTAAATGCTGCAGCATAGTAGCTTCGATGCTAGCTATGACATGGGCTCAAATTTCGAATATCGATTGAGTCGCCTGTCTGTCTATCGTACTCTCCTACAGATTGTGACAGATTTTATTGATGCACGATTGGCGATTATGGATCATTAGCATCTCATGAGAACATATAAACTTCTTCCTTCTTGCTATTCTAGAGCATTAAGTAAAAGATAATGAAGAAATGGGTCCCAAGATAGATTGAATAAAACAATATTCTCGTGTTTAGTAATAGCAGCTACATCGTTTTTCACATTTTAATCTCGCAGGGATTTTAGTAACGGTTTTTTTTGTACTATTTCGTAAATGTACTTTCCAACTTTCAAATATTTGAATATATTAAGACAAAAACATAAATAAGCACAAATAGAACCAGCATTGAATTTAGGTGAAATAACGACTGTTTTCAAAAAAATACCACTAGAGTATTACGATTGTGAGCATAGGTTGAATCCAAATAATAGTTAGCTTATTTCGCTGGAACATTTGATTGAATCGCAACAAGTTAGTGAAGGTGATATATCCTATTACGGACACAATCTATATGTAGAATCTTTTTTTAAAACTCTTGATTGTAAAAGTAAAAACAGTATTTTTCATGACAATTTGAGCCATTTTGAATCTATTCCTAGTTAGTAATTTGTAAGAATTATTCTTTTTTCAAAATAAAATTATGATATAACGCGATCTTCCTGTTAAAAGGTTTATCAGGATCAGAAGCCAACCAAACATGAGTGATTTGGAATCGAACTCAGAACCAATAGTTCCAAATTGCAAAAACAAAATCAAGACTAATGATTTTGGCATGATCCTGAAAATGAGATATCTAAGATCAATATGAAATAGCCGCCTTTGCAAGTAACTAACCATATATATATAACTGTGAAAAGCAATAAAAAAAGTCAAATTCACAATAAATTCAATTTTAATGCCGTTCAAGACGAATGGATCATTTTCGACACATCCCATACCGCCACAGTAAAATGACTTCACCCAAATTTGATTCCACCGATGTGATAATTATCATCTGCTTAAGCTATTTACATGGTTGGCTCAACATCAATTTTACTGGATGGATGTCAAGGAGTAAAGAGTTAATATGATGTGTTGAATTACGTCCGAAAAAGTAGGAAATAGGTACTTTTAAAAGTAACGGCAACTTCTTACCTCTTACTAATGCCTCTCGTATAATTGAAACTTGTATCATAGTTATAACATCTGTATAATTATCGTTATTTTGACCATTGTTTTTTTTTTTTTTTTATAGATTTGAAGCTTTTCCTTTAGAAACAAGAATACTGTCCTTATTTGTTAGATTGCTCCTTGTAAAACAATTTTCAAGTTATGAATTTTCCATCACCATATGCACGTGTACTTCCACATCAAATTCATCTTGGCAAACCACCTGAAACTCAGAGGACAGTTGAAGCTGAACAGCGAAATCGTGTTGTAGGATCTCTCTTAGGTCTTGCCGTAGGAGATGCACTTGGAGCAAGTGTTGAATTTCGATCTCATCAATATCTCATGGTACATCCCGTTGAAAAGATGAAATCTGGAGGTACGTGGGGCTTGAAAGCAGGTCAATGGACCGATGATACTTCAATGGCATTATGTCTCGCCTCATCTTTACTAACTACGAAAATGTTTGATCCTTATAATCAAATGGTTCGTTATAAATGGTGGTTCAAACATGGTTTTCTCTCCTCCACTGGGCATTGCTTCGATATCGGTAGTGCTACCCGTCAATCATTGGATCTATTTTATCAGCGTCAAAAAGAACTCATGAAAGCATTATCCTTAAGAACTGAGAATGATGTCGATAAACTTTCTATCGCTGATGTTAAGTGTAAACAACCAAAATTTGATGTTAACTGCGGTCAATCAGGTAAAGCTGGAAATGGAGCTCTCATGCGTCTTGCTCCAGTACCACTCTTCTATTTTCGAAATCCTTCTTTGGCCGTTGAATTTTCTGGTGCTAGCGCACGTCTAACTCATGGTGACACGAAAGCTGTCGATGCATGCCGTTACTATGGAGCTCTTATTGTTGCTGCTGTCAGTGGCGAATCGCACGAAAGTTTGACCAATAAATCCTTCTATGCTACTCACAAAGAGTGGTTCGGATCTGATGAGCTTCATGAAGAAGTTCTCAAGATAGCCGGAGGCTCTTATCAAAAGCAAGGGGGTTATGACAAAGGTATTCGTGGTAAAGGCTATGTTATAGATGCGCTTGAAGCTGCTTTATGGGCTTTCTGGAAGTATGAAGGATCATTTAAGGATGGTGTCCTTGCTGCAGTCAATCTTGGAGACGATACAGATACAACAGCGGCTATTTATGGTCAACTGGCGGGAGCTTGTTATGGTGTGGATCATATTCCGGCAGAATGGATTGACAAACTTTATGCTAAAGAGTTGATCAGGGACATCGGCAGTTGGCTACACTACGAAGGAGGTTCATCCAGTCCAGAAAACAATCAACAAGAAGAATCATCTCAAAGCCAAGTTCGTTTAACAGATTAGCACTCAAATAATCATCATACCTCAAAATCAATGTCTGCGACTATGACTTCGTCACAATTTTCCAATGCCGATTCTCTCAACACAACAAATCCTGCCTGTGATTGAAGCATTTAACGACAAGCACCAAAATAATCCAACACTCCATTTTCCATCATTGAACACTCTAATGACTCATGCTTGTCACATTTATTTTCTACAAGGCCTCAAAATCTACACAGTAGTCTGAAAAGCAGTAGTAGCCATAGCGAGGGATCTGATCAGGATTGAGCAATACTTAAATTTAGATATTCAGTGAATCATTATAAAAACTAGAAATGTAACATCTTCTTTTCTTTTTTTGAAAAAAAGTAATGAAAAACTAGCCTTTTCTTAATATTTATAATTTCAAAATGCCACCACTCTCCTTTTTCTTCAAGTCCATGAATTTAGATTTTAAAACTAATCAGTTTGAAATATGAATATGCTGAAATCCAAATTTCTACATGTCATTTGTGATGTTTCTTATCCATGTTGCAAATTCTTCGAATATGGCGAAAATTAGCATTTAAACATACATTAGCAGATACTTTAGTTGTTTATATAGAGAATTCATTTCTATATGATATGAATCAAGTTCGAACAAAGACAGTTTCATATAAATGTACGGTTGTGGGTAAAGATAAGACCGTTACGGCTCATTCCAACCGTACCTATACCCACACGTTTCCGAGCGAATCGAAGATATTGCTGCTCGAGTGTAGTGATAACTTCACCTAGGTTCGTAATTAAATATTGCACATAAGAAAATGGTGCAAATGGACGTGGCTATAACTAATCATCAACAGCTTATTTTTGGCAATAGTATATTCATTTTTCAGTTCTACAGTGCCAACAAAAAAAAACATATTTAATAAGACAGAGCTATGCTTCACTTTTGACTTATAGCTTCAATAATTTTTCATTTAGCTCTTAAAATTTCATTGACGAAGATTAAAGATTACTAAATATCAATCACATGCGACTTTGTTTGGATTTTAGGTTGATGTATGCACTGTACGACGATACAAAAAGTTTGATATTCCAAAAAAATAAAATAAAATAAATAACATTAACAATTATTCATGTAAAACACTACAGCTTGTAGTGTCAACTGTAACTGCAGACGTTTTTCTTAACGAAGTCATCAGATGGCACTACTAGCTATTGTAGTTTATTATCAAGTATACATATATTAAGTGTCGAGGGCTTCTCTTCTATACCAATGGCAATTCTATCCAATCTCTTTATTTAAGTTTCTAAGTACAGAACTCGTTGAGTTTGTCGAAAATACGTTTCAATTTCTTTCTCATTCGTAAGATGAACGCATTTCTTCAACCATCTCATCGAATCTTAACAAATCTTCTATCAAATTTTTCTCATACACGTTGTTATTTATCAACCAGTCCTATTTTACATAGTTGGTTTGTAAAATTAACAAATGTTACACAAGTCAATACAGAAGCAGCAATACCAAAACATACACGAAAAAGAAATTATCCATTAACTTGTATGAATATATTTTCCTTTTTTTTAATAATCATTTTTATTGATTATATTGCCTAGAAAAGATGAACAACGACAATTTCCAAAATTAATAGGTCATACTAAAACATGGAATACATTTAATACATCAAATTTACGTGATGGAAAACGTAAAGCTGAAACTGTTTCTGATGATTTATTTCTTCGTCAATTTATTTATGGTACATGGCATTCATTATTTGCATCGGAACTTATTATAAAACGACGTCATAATATGATTATTCTAAGTGGACTTGTAACTCGAACAATTCATCCACGTCGAATGTATTTTCTTATAGGTTATACGGAGGAAATTCTTTCAGCTTTATTAAAAACTCCTGTTAAAATGGAAATTCAGACTATAGAAAATAAAGATGATGTTATTTTTACCTATTGGTAGAAAAACTGAAGTTATTAAACAGATTTTTTCTAACCAATTCTTTGTTTGTTTCTAGATAAAAAACTTTCTTTGTTTTCTTTTTTTGAATTTTCAAATGAATATTAAATATCAAGCAAATTATTTATTATTTATTTTAACAGGCAACATTTATTTGAAATTTTTCGAGTTTCATAGCACGTTTTAAAACCAGACAAGAATATAGACAACTGATGCTTAACCAAAAATATCGAAGATAAATAAATATTGGATGAAAATTTAATTTTAATTCTTTACTTAAACATTGATCATTAATGGAATAAAATACTTCAAATAGATTATGAATTTTATTTTCAAACCAATTCAATGATTGAATTTTATTCAATTGTTTAAATTCAATATAGAATACATTCGGACATATACGAATATGTATTTGATATGTTTGAATTATCCATCGATAGAATAATTCAAATCCAATGATTAATATACCAATACAAATATGTACAATTAGATAGAATCTTGTATAATGCCAAGACATATTATTTATTTTCGAAATGTAATAGGCGCGAAATAGTTTATATTGTTTATATTTATTTTCAGATATGGCCATGCAAATGTGTAACAGACGAGTCACTCAAGTGACAACAAGTTTTGTTCGACAACTTGCTAAACCAATACCAATGAAAGTGGAAGATGATCATCATGATGATGAACATACACATATTTCTCTACCAAAAACACCAACACCAAAAACATTTTTTTCAATGAGTAAATTTTTATTACGTGGAAATGCTTCAATTTCAACTGGTCTTAATAGTATTTTATTCATTTATTTTTCTGTTGATAAAAACGAAATTCTATTTGTTTTTTTTTCCTTTTTAGCTCCTCTTAGTATTCGCTATGCGCATACTGATATTCAAGTACCAAATTTTGATTATTATCGTCGTAAAGCACGTCTTGATCCATCAAAATCGTATCGAGATGCTGGTGATGCCACTTCACCTTACTCTTATTTAGCTCCTATTGGTAAGTCTAGTCTGTATTGGAGAAAACTTCGTATACGATGTTAATCCTAATGTAAAAGTTAATAATTGCATTAGAGCAATTAGGAAATTATACTGTATAAAAATGTGTTGTAGAGCAAGTTGAATGCTTTATCGCAAATCTTATTTTCATTAGACTTTATAGGAACTAGAATTAATTTATTGATAGACAACTATGCATCTAAAGTGTATGACCAGTTATTGATCATTATGGTCGTTGGTATCAGTCAAAATTATTTGGGAAAAATTTTCTTTATATAGTTTTGTGAAACTTACATAGATTCTCAAAGAAAATAATGAATATCAATTTTAGCATCAAACTTTTTCCCCGGAGTTTGTTAGCAACGAAAAAAAAGCATTGCATCACATTGGTAGCAAAGCTTTTGAGGTTCTAGAGTATTCCAAAGGCTTCTTTCTATATTCAAAATGTCAACGATAATATATAGTAATGTATTGATCAAGTTATAATTTTGGAAAATGACCAAGATCAATGTTTATGAGTTGATCGAGATATATATAATAGTACGTTAATACTTGCTGCCGTGGATAATGGATATCTACAACAGCATTTTCTGCTATTTAGTTGAATTTTTATAATAATAACGATGTCAAATGAAGAAAAGCGAAGTGTGAAACTGAAAAATAACGAGCGAATAGAAACAATGCAATCAAAAAAAAAACAGTTCTGTTCTAAATACAGAAATAAGTAAGACAAACCATTACTCTAGTGATCGCTTATCTTGTACAACAACTATAGTCTACAAGAGATTTTTCATTTGGCGTATTTCGTATTAGCATGATGATTCTAAAGAACATATGTGGATTCCACATTTCAATTCTGAAAGTGGTTGTGCTAACAAGATTTTTTCAAAGGGAAAGAATTCGATTTCTCGATAACTTACCATCGTTTTTTACTAATGGTAAGCCTTTATGACTTCAGCAGTGTCGGCCATAGATGCCATAACTAGAGGACAATCTTTGTTGAAAACTGCTCTTGATGTAGCACTAAAAAACACGCTATTTATAAGTTCTTCAAGATAAGTACGTGATGCTCAGTATAGTCTTGCATTGAAAAATCTTCACCATTTTTACATCAATTTTCTTTTTTTTCATATTATTTTTCTACATGTTGACGATCCAAAATTGATTCTAGTGCAAAATAAACTTCATGGAACAGCTTACATTTTAAATAATTTATTTTTCGCCAAAATTCGTCCTTTGGGGAAGCACAGAGAAAAATCCAGGGAAAATGACTAACATTTCGGTGAAAAAATTTAGCTAAAATGTAAAATATTCAATGGAGTTTTCTACGAAAGAAAATTGATTAAAATTTTCGAATGAAGAATTATTTTTGGCATCACACATTTATCTTAGAGAATTCCCAAATCGTGTGTTTTGTAGTACTACATTATGGGCCACATCTGAGAAAATTTAACAGCTGGTGACATCTTCTCTGATAGACACTATTGAAGGCACAGAAACTTATCATTAGTAACAAACGGTGATAAACCATTGAAAAACCACATTTTTTTTCCTATCAAACTAGGATGATCGGTGATGTTAAGTATATGAAATTATAGCCTCTGAAAAGCTCTACACAATCGTATATAAGAAAAAGATTTCACAAAGATTGCTGATTGATACCAAGGAATACAATGATCAGCATATTGACTATAGTTCGTTCAAAGTCTTATGAAATTAAGTTTTATTGTATAGCATTGGACGCATTTTGCCTTACTCTACATTATGGTATATTTAGTTTCTCAATTCTGAGAAAGTCACTTAATAGGACTGCATCCTTTATCTTACAGACGTAAAATTTTGCTAGTTTGGACGATAGAGAATTCAAACATCTGAAACGAAATATTTATATAGTCAATAAAAATCTTTTTTTCAAAGTGTAGGTCAATTCATGATTTATAAGTGTTCTATTTAACATTTAAAAATTCTTTTATTTTAAACTTTTTTTTTCATAAAGGTATGGCTATAACATCAGCTTATATGGCTAAATATATTGTTCGAGATATAGTTACGTATGTTGGTCCAGCTAAAGATGTAATGTCTCTAGCTAAAGTAGAAATTAGTCTTACTGCAGTTCCTGAAGGCAAAAATGTTGTATTTGAATGGCGTAATAAACCCATATTTGTTCGTCATCGTACACCAGCAGAAATAGCAAGAGAACAAGGTGTTAGTGTTGATCAATTACGTCATCCACAAAATGATTCTGAACGAGTACAAAAACCTGAATGGCTTATTGTTATTGGTATCTGTACTCATCTTGGTATGACTAATTAAACAACAGAAAATAGGTTATTTTATATCGTCCTTTTCCTTTCAAATTTATTTTAAGGTTGTATTCCAATTGCAAATGCTGGTGATTTTGGTGGTTATTATTGTCCATGTCATGGCTCACATTATGATGCCTCGGGACGAATACGTAAAGGACCAGCACCACTCAACCTTGAAGTTCCCCAATATGTATTCAAAGATGAAGATACTGTTATCATCGGTTAGAAATTAATTATGAAAAAAACCACCCACCCGTTCCTTCATTTGTCACTTTTTTTGGACTAGTTTATTGTATTCTTTGGCATAAAAAAAAATTCATATGGACATTAATGATTTTCTTTTTTTTTTTTGCATTCATATAATAACTAAAATCAATTCTTTATTTCCTTATTCATTTCAATTAACAATAGTAGATATTCTTCTTAAACAGGAAAAAAAAAACTTTTTATTTTAGTCTTATTGGGAGTGTTAACCATAGTAGAGAATTCCATTTAAATTTTGTTTCAATGTAAGAACAAGACCTTCTTGATTAGTATCATATTTCCATAAAACATATTCATTATTTTTTCGAGCCATTTGAACATAATGATTAACAGCACGATATAAATCATGTAATTTAGAATCACTAACAACACTTGCAAGCTCTTTTAATTTAATTAATTTTTCATCTGTAACTAATGAAAAATTTTCATTCGGAAGTAATGCATTATCCGATCGTTTGATTTTTTCATCATGTTCATCATCACTAATCAATGGTACACCAAGCAAACAATGAATATGTATGATGAAAATAAATGTAGTTAAAAATACGATGAAGTGCTTTTTAAAAAAATAACAAACAGAAAATATTAAGCATATTGTGTGATGATTTCCAATTAAACTTACGTGCATCTATTGACTTTCAGATCAGATTAGGTGAAAACAAGATAGAAATGCCGAAGATTTTATAAAATAATGAATTACTTGTCAATGTATATATACGTATGAATCTGATCTAATATGCCGCTAATAGACATATTTCTCAAGTGTATAATTACTCTTTCAATGACGCCAATAGTGAAATTGAAGAAGATACCGCCTTCTTTGTTTCCAAATATCATTTTCCTTGATTTTATTAACCTTTATATATATTTACTGTTTCATACGTAACGACCCATTTTTATTTTATTTTTTGTATCTTTACCATAATCAATGGTGAAAAAGTATTGGATATATATACATATTTGACGAGAAACATCTAAGCAATTATTCAACAAAAATTGTATCGAATATCCATCAACCGTAAGAAAGTCTCATGTTGACATAAATATTGAAAGAAATTTAACTGAGCCATTATTTTTTACTTTTTTTCTGCAAAGAATTATCAACTCAGTATTTGATGAACATCTCTGTTAGTTTTGAATGTCTTGATTTCAGCTGTTTCTAATTTTAAGTTATTCTTTTGTTTATTTTCACAAAATACTGAGTTGATAATTCTTTATAAAAAAAGAGATAAAAATGAATCTGATAATTTTTTTTGCAATATCTTTACCAACGTGATTCTTTCTTACAGTTAATGCAAATTGAATTCAGTTTTTATTGAATAATAGCTTAGATGTTAATCTTCAAATATATATATATCCAATACTTATCCATTTTTGACTATAGCAAACACACAAAAAATTCAAATGTGATCGTTACTTATGGAACACTCTTTGTATATAAATGCGTTATCCTTGATAGTTATTTAGTCTATTGATAACATGAGCATTTTCACAAGATGTTAATCGAAGTGAAGAAGTATTATAGACTAAGACGAAATAATATACACTCAAAGTGAAATTTTAATCAAAAATTCAGTAGACATAGCTAATTTATAGATATGTAACTTTTGTTTAAAAAACATACTTTCTTGATTCACGATTTAATCAGAAGTAGTGCTGTATATATTAGAAAAGTGCAGCTGTATACAAATACCAAAAACTAGATAAAAGGAAAACAGAAATTAATCGATATAATTTGTCATCCTCTTATTAAAAAAAAATTACCAACGATTGTAAATGTTACCAAAACTACATTCTAATTAGACAATTACTTTTTTATGGATTGATCAATAAAAAAAAACAGCAGATCTGTTAATTTTTATTTTTTTGAAAATTTACTGAGTTTCTCTTAAAGGATTCAACAGAATCGACATGTAACAGATCAACAAATTACGTGTATTTATATGAATCCAAAATAATTTACAATATCTATGATAGTAATATGCTGCCATAGATAGAACTATATTATTAATGATCAAAATGATACACGTAGAAAGAAATAGAATAAGAATACTTGTTTTCAAGTTTTTATTTTAATGATTTATTTTTAGAAATCGTTCATTACATCAACAGCATTAATTTGATCATATTATGTAGGACAGTAATTCTATTCAATCCTACTTAAAAATTTTTCTATAATAAGATATTCTTTGACGTGGAACGAAATTGAATTATGATGACATGATTATATGTCTGAAAATAGTAATTCAAAATTGTGCTCTCTATGATACAGCTTATTCTAACTAAAATGGAACTGAGCTCAAATTAACATAGAACTGATGGATTAGATTTTTATATCAGCTATTCATATATGCGGAGTTTTTGAGTTCAAAAGTAAAAAATAGCTCAATCTACCATGACAAAGAATACGATCAGTAGTAGGCGGAATGACAATGTTACTTTTCTTGAGCAGGTTTGAATATACTACACACGTGAAATGTTTCTGATAGTGACTCGCACGAAAATATATCTATACGATGCTAGTCTAATATATATCTTGAGATAAACATGAATTAATGTAAAAAGAATTTCTCAATCAGATACTAATCAATAGAATGAAAATTACTTTTGCAACGTATGACCTTTATATAAATTGCAGATGTCTACGAACAAAAATGAAGTGCTCACAAACTATATGTATTTTCCATGAAATTTCGTAGTTAAACTTGCTTATAAATAAAAATAACATCCTCAAATAGAATTAGACAAGTTCTATCTAATACATCCACTTTTAGAGTTCTTTAAATTTTCAGATCGATTTTCTAGAAATATGGTAGGTGCGAGGAAACTCACTACTGGGCAAAAGTATATAAATTTCAATCCTATTGTCTGTTACTTTGACTACAAATAGAGTTCGGTAAACTTTGATCGCAGACAGCAAATCGAGGCTAATAGGTCTTAGGGCAAAGATTTCTGATGAAAATACTATTTTTCCCCTAGGAACCAAAAAAAGAATTTTTGGACACTTTTCTGACTTTCCACTACTTGAATGCATCGATCTCCATTTTTCTATTAATAAATAAAGGTTTGCATATCTATATGGTGTCATCGGTAAGGTACTCCAATCAATTGCAAACCTTGAGATCTAGGTAATTCTTCATTACCTGAGATGGTCTCAACATGGATCTCTTCTCCATTGATGACTGTGACCGTGAAATTATCAAGAAAAACTTCATTGAAACAGGATACTGACTGAAAATATTTCAAAGTTAATGATTCAAAAAAGCTGTAGATATCGGTCAGTTTTTTATGCTTCCCATCAGCTTTCATATGAAGATTACTTTATAAATCAGGCAAATTGTTATGGATTTTTTTCGGTGATAGAGGGAGCACTTAGTTATCGAATAAGAAGTCTAATGTCATGAGACTTATTTTCTATTTTGAATTATCCTCATCTAAAGAAAAAATATCTCAAAATTACGATGCTTTTCTTTTGTACTGTTTTTTTTTCATAAAAAAACATACATTTAGAATTGACGTCGAATTCCGAACAAAATTCAGTATTTTATAAATCAAAATTTTAAGTCGGATTTTTCTCGAAGACTGATTGGATAAAAATTTCTTTCGTTGGGTTCTACTGAAGACTGCGTTAAGTGGTGCAGAATTGGACACTAATAACGAATGTCTAGTTGCTTTTGCTTGTATTCTGATCCAAACTGCAATTTAAGAGAAAAGAACGAAATTTTGTTTCGAACACAGTTTTTACTTTTTTATTCGATACGGTTATACTTGTTGAGAAATAGCATGATATTCTGAAAGTTTGTTAAAAGCTGAGGAAATTTTATATAAAACACTTATTTGTTTGTCATCTTGTTTCGTAATGAAATGCTAAATTATCATCATTGTGAAAAAAAAATGTATCTTTTGAAATTTCGTAATGGTCGTTATTGTTTGAATAACTCAACTCTGACTAAAGAGAAATCAATACAAATTTTTATTCATAGTAGATCTAAATGGTGTCTATCTATGATGAAAAAATGATTGTATGCTATCTTGAAAGGAAATTTTTACCGTACTCTCTTACATCATCACAACTTGAATCCAACTCTTTTTTTTTATAAATACAATTCGTTTTCATTACATACAAATTAGCTACTCTCAGGTAATAATACAATATGAATTTAATAAACGAATGTGTCTAACGGTTTAACTCGATGCAGATTTAGCATTAATAAAAAACATCGTTAAAACTTTGGTTTCAATCCCATAGATTTTATTCTGAAAGATTTTCTATGATATAATTATTTCTCACTCACTCGACATAAACTCGTCCATCGGAGCTGAAACTCTAACACTTCCACATCACGATGGTATTCTAAAAAAAAATTCGTTTCGATTTTCAATACTTTGACTGTACTGAACTAGAACTATTGTTACTGATCTTTAATATTGATCAAGTCTCAGCTTGTTACATGTGTCGACACTGAAATTTCGTACAGACTCATATACTTTTACAATATCCTTCACAAAAAAAATCTCCCGCTACCATCACCGTGATATCAAGATGAAGATCTCTATCTTCTACTTACGAGGAAATTTCTCTAAACATTCAATAAGTTTTAAGTCAACACAGTGTCTATTATATAGGTCCAAATGAGCTGTAAATACCCTGAAAAGAGTTTTATGCCCTTTGTTTATTATTACAGATATACTGCATTTTTACGCTATTTTTATGCATATATGACACGATCCACTTAAAAAAACGAGACCAATAGTTTGCGACTTTCGACTTGAAACTTTGTATAGAGAAATTTCTTAACGAGAGTATTTTACTGTGAAAATTTTTACTTCTATCCTGAAATAAGAAAAGTTTTTTTTTTCGTTGAGGTCTGTTACTATGCAAATTTTCAAGCCGATAGTCGAAAATTAGTTTTTCAATTACCATGTCATTCATTCATTTTAAAATGATCGTACAAGTGCAATATCTTGACATCAATAAACTAAGTGTACAAACTCTTTTTAGAATATTTATATCTCATTTGGATCTAGATAATGTGCATAGCCTTGACTTACAAGCAATTGAATATTTGCAGGACTTCCCTCGTTAGAGTTGTCTTATATGATCAAAATACAGTTCTTCGAAACGTTCCGTTTACCGAAAAACAATCACAAAGATGTCGTTCTACTAGAGTTCCGCAAAACTCTAGATCAAAAATATTTTTTTGTATAGTTATAAGCTTTTAATGAAATAAACTTCGATAATCCATTAAGAATTTACGGATTTTTTGCAAACAAATCCCAAAAAAGAAGAAGAAGAAGAAAAACAAAAGCCATGCATTTATATTACGATCGACTAGTAGTCAAATGTCTTTGTTTAGACAGTTAAATATTCATTCGTCATTTTCATTGATGTTGTATGAATGACTATTTTCTTTTTTAATATTCGATATTGATGACCATGATGTATCATTAGTTGATGTTGGACATGGATGATGATTATGACCATGATTTGTTGCATTAGCTTCAAGTTTAACATGTGGATCATTGAGTGATTTAAAATTATTTTCTTTTTTCCATTTCATTCGACTAATGAAAAACAAAAAAATAAAACAAAAAAAAAAAATCTTAATTAATTCTTACCGATTTTGAAACCAAATCTAAACAATAAAAAAAAAATATACGAATAGATTAATACGAAATACGGAAAAGATCTGATTATTACTTTAATTTGTCGTTCCGTTAATGCAAGACTATGAGCAATTTCAATCCGTCGTCGACGTGTTATATATCTATTATTATTATTATTATTGACAAAAACAAAATTTAAAGAAAACACAATGAAAAATTCTTCTTTTTTTTTTACTTCGTATAATGAAACTCTTTTTCTAATTCAAGTGTTTGATGACGTGTATAAGTTTGTCGAGTACGTTTATGTTCAATATTAATTTCTATATAAAAAGAAAGAATGACTTAAGAAACTTTTTCAACTGATCAATTGCTTTTGAATTCCGATTCAACACATAAGGTAGAGTTCAATGAGATATGAAATACATTAAAATGATAACTACTCTTAGACCTTCTAGCTACAGTTACTGATATTTTACTAGAATTTTAGCTTCAGACATGATGAATACCAACAACTCGAATGACAATAATTTTGACCTGCCCATAAACAAAATGTCATGTTGAACTAACATCATTCGAGTTGTTCGAAATTACCATGCCTAAGACTAAAATTTTAGTAAAATGTCTATAACTCTGAGCAAAAGGGGCTCACAATCACTTATCCTTTTGATATGCTTCACACGCCATTGAACTCTATGTTATGTGTTGAGTTCGAATTCAAAAGCGATTGATCTGTTAAAAACGTTTTCTCGTAAGTGTAATAATCATAAACAAACAATATCATGATACAGATGTTAATCATTTCTATGTGTTACATTTATGTCAAAATTTTCCATACGTTGTCAATAAATCATTTTTTTTCTATTCTTCTCTTAATGAACTTCTATTAATACCTGGTCTCATCCATGAATGTGCATAATAAAGCATTGGATTTGTAACTGACATAGGAAATGTTGATGATATTGGTTCAGTTTGTTTCCATGATGATGTACTACAATTTGGTGTTGATAAAAAATAATCATTTGTTGATTGATGTTGTTCAAAATGATATTGTTGATGATGAGATGTATCTGTTTGTATCATACTTAAATTAGAATAAGTATTCATACGTGTAGGATCTTTCGTTATGAAACGAAAATTTCCACGATTATAATCTGTTTCAAATATTGATGGATGATTATTATTATTATTATTATTATTTATTGTTGATGATAAACTGAAATAAGGATTCATTGTTTTCTTTGATAATAACGAAAATTATATAACGATATAGCTCATAAAAAAATTCACACACATAAAGTTTGAATCAATAAAAATAACTTCAAATAGCTATATCAATAAAAAAGATGGACATGATGTTACGATGACAATTGAAATGATTCTTAGTGCTTTTAGATGAAAATAATATTTCTTTGTTCGTTTCTTTTTCTTTCCAGTAGTATTAATCGTAAATGAATATTTTCCAACCATTCGTTATTCGAGAAAAGAAATTTTTCTGTTCAACCAATCAATATCTTTCTTATTTTTGGTAGGCATTTTGTGTACTCTCTCGCTTCCTTTTTTTTTTCCCTAAAGAACGATTACTCATCTTATCATTATTCATTGAAAGTCTACATGTCGTAGATAGAGAATATGCACACTATCCTATCATTGATAGACATGTGCTGATATCCAACTACCTTTGAAAAGAAAAAATTATTGATTGAAGAGAGACTTACTTGTCTTCTACATATTCAAATTTTTGAAGTATCATTTGACATTACATGATGACGACAAAGTTAATTGATCTAATTGTCGGTCACTTGGCTTTTTGCATAAAAAACAAAAGAAACCTCGATGTTTTCTCTCTCACATTGATATGTGTGTAATAAGATCAAATATTTTGTATATAAGAAAACAAAAAAAAAAAAAGACTTTCAAGTTATTACATTTTGACACTTATATTTGTTCTATTGAACCATAAATACTAAAAAAACACATTCCTTGATCATGAAGAAAGTGTTCTATTTAATGAGAATTTGATGACATCGATGGAACCGACAATTGTTTTAGTTTGATCATGTTGTCATCGACGTTTTTCTTGTTTCTTCTATCTGTATTACTTACTGCATTTGTTTTGATCGATGAAGTGTATAGACCATTACAAATGATATAATTTTGTTAATGAAGACATGAATATGTAACTATTAAACAACAGTTTCCCAAGGTCACCAAGAATGGATAAGGAGTGGTTGAATGTGGTTGCGTGAATTAGTGAGCAACATTAAATGAAGAAAATTGTTCAGTTTCACTGAGGATAAACGGAGGTTTTTCAAAATTTCGGGGGTTACTCTCCTTCCATTTAAAACATTCCTGTTATTAAAGATAAAATGACATATAAATCTAACAAAGATTAAATTGTTTTTACTCGCTCGTCGATGAAACAGTTGAGTGGTAAAATAAGTCAATAGATTCATAATTTGTTATATATTAATACGATATAGGAGAAATTACTGTCGAGACTTGTTGTATAGAATTAATTTTTGAAGCAAAATAATTTAAATAACAGAAGATATTTGTTTCATTTGTTTATATGTTGATGACATTAATTTGACTAATATTAATAAAATGCGTTCTTATGTTAATCAATATCTATATTCATTATATAAGATCTTTTACAAATGATAGAATATATATATATATAATTATCTTAAAACTAAACTTTAGAAACTTCTCTGTGTATATTACCTGAATACAATCGAAAAATTGTATGTTATGATATCTCTAATTGTTGAGAACAATATGTAGATAAAGTTTGTGGTGTATATATATATGTACAATAAAAAAAAACATTGAGAGAAAATAAAGGGATCAAAATAGCGTCCATAAAAATAAAAATATCATGTTATTAAACAATATTAGTGCATTATTATAATGTTTCACTAATAGATTCATGTTTAAATAGAACCTTTAACAAATAGCAATTATTTCTAAAAATAAAATACAATTGTTTGTCAATGTTTAGATGATTTATAAAAAGGGTTTTTTTTTTATGAGTCTTTCATCTGTTTCTTATTCTTTGCTGTTGTTCGTTTAACATTATTTTTTTTTTATAGTTTTTTTCACACATGTGCACAATTGCTTGGTTTCTACAATATGCACTCATTGTCGGTCAAATGCAAAGGATTCGACACTTTTCAACTGCTGTTGCCGTTCAATGGCCCTATTAAACTTTTCCATTCATGTCCGTTTGATCAATCAAATGATAGTTGTCTATTTATTCATTTTTCTCCATAGGGAAGTGCTTGTCCATTATTGGCAATATATATGTATATAGATATATATATATTTGTTTTTTTTTTGATGGAACAGATGAACAGTCAACGAATCAAAACGATCTGATTGTTTTATTTCTTCTATCTATCGGAATGTATTACGTGTGCAAGATAAAAAGCAATTTTATTCTTTTGGAAAATTATTAGAACATCATCATGAATAATAATCGAGTTTCGATAGAATTGTCATACGAGTAACAAATCAATCCAGATATGTTTTGTTTTTGTATTATACATCTTGCTTATTTGTTAATGATGGTTGTTTTCGTGATGATTTTTAATTACTCCTAGTTCGTTTGTGTGTGTGTGTATGATAGTCATAAAATAAGTTCAACCTATTGTATATAAACGCATACAAAAAGGCTAAATAATTCGACAAATATGTATGAGGTGTGACACATAATTCGTTCTCTTGGGATGCGCATCGTTTGTCATGCATGAGAAGCAGAAAAAGAAATATATATATATCTATATATCAATCAAAAGAGAAAAAAAAGCTTCCGTTTAATGAGTCTCATTTGAACATTAGATGATGTTTTAACGACACAACAGTTACCTCATATATGAAAAGAATGTATTGTAACTATACTTATTGTTGACTGAAGTGCAAAAGTAAAATGTTGATTGGTTAAAAATGTACGTCAGTTTTATTTTATTTTTTTTGCATACTATAAAATATATCATATCGATCTTTGAGATTGCTGCAATATGAAATATGAATATGATAAATCTAGCACAGTAAATTTCAATATTCTTAATACTATAAATAATCACATAACAACCAATGAAGATAATTTAAGAAACAGATATTACGTTAAAGTGTATTTCTTTGAATTTTTAGTATTACGAATTCGAAGAGTTCTGCATAGGATATGCCAAAAGTTTTTTCGTCTAGATTTTCTAAGAGCCATAATTTCAATGCAACTATTCTAATATAATGCTAAGATATATTTAGAAATTTTGTACTTGGTTGTATTTTTGCGATTCTTGCAGATTCGTAATACAATATTTTCTACATGAGTTTTGAATTTTCACGAGAATACTTTCAAAATATGATTTTACATGACTAATGAATCGTCTTCACTTGCTAGGAAAACTGTAATCATTTAGTATGAGCATAAGGAAACTTAACAATTTCAGTTCGTATACTAACCAATTTGTGCCATTAATTTCAAAAGCTCACTTTTCATCATTGAAGATGCTACTGGAAGAATTTTTAATGCTATTCTAGCATAATTGAAATTGATTCTCATTGAACATACGAATGAATAGAGGACATCTTGAACGCAATTTCATTAGTGGGTATTTCAATTATATTTGTTTGTTTAAAGTTCTATAGAGTTTTGTGCTTGATAAGTGATCGATCAACTTATCGTTGATTGAAAGCAGTTTTATATTCAGTTGGGCCGTTATCGACTGAATTGATTTGGATGAATTAATTTCAAACTTGTATTCTATATCATTTATTAAAAATAAAATACAATAAAGTAGTCGAAAGTTGTATCGTTATAAATATACCTTATTGGAACAAGACGTCAGACAAACGAAAACTGCTCATTTTTTTTTACGAAATCTAGTTTTATCAAGTCGATAACATTTGCGTGAGATATCAACGGTTATTTTTACCAGAATACCATATGAAACCACATTCAATCTAGCATATTCATCATATCTGAACTCATATTACTGCTTTCTTTCTTCAAAACTCAAATATCAACTACATGAAATTGGATTCAACGGCCCCAGTGAAATATTAAGTATGCTAAATAAAGGCAGAAATATTGCAAAAATGACTTTTATGAAGTGACTTAACTAAGTGCACCAATGCGTTGCTCATGAAGAGCACAATACTTTAGGAAATACTACTAGAACCAAATGTCGAATAGTTGTTTAAAGAGCTGGCGAAGAATTTTGGAGTGCGCCTTGAATCAAAATTTTATTGAAAGACTATGAGAGGAAAGTTTCTTAAAACGCACAAAATCCTGAATAAAATAAGAGGTTACCACATGTTCTATGATCTTTCGTTAAAAAATTATAAGTATCGCAAAACGAAATTTAACATAGCATTGATAAAAGCACCCATTTTTTTAAATATTTTTTGTGATGCTGATAACTTTTTAAGAGAATTAATGACATTTTGTTTTAGTTGTTCGTTTGATAAACTTTTCAAAAACAATTCGAATATTGGCTCTAATTGGATATTCTTAATCATGAATCTTAGTTTTACCATCAATATAAAGTAGATCGAATCAAAAACAATTTACTTCGTTTGACATTCAGAATCAATAGTTATTCGTATTGTACTTTCTGAATCTATAATGAATCTTAAAGACCATCAATTTATGAATATATTCTTTCGATTGATATCAATATCGAATAATGATATTGATCCAAAACAGGAAACAAGAGATTTCTTTATTGACAGAGAAGTCTTAGTTCGAATCGTTCGTTTTACACAAACAAATTCAAGTTGACATGGATGTTGCAATCAAAGCAATATTTTCGAGTGTAATATTTTTTGATACATATACTTTAAGATGAGCATTAAATCCATTTTCATTCAAATATTCTATTCGACCCCAATCTAAAATTCGTTTTGCTTTTAAACCAATCTTTTCTTGTTGTTCAATAGAAAATAAACGTTGTTTGGAATAAGTTGATCGATCTTTGGATATTAATGAAGTAGATTGAAGTGCAATACCATCTAAATGAAAATAAATATGTACATGAAAATGATATTATTAGAATTGGGAATAAAGAGTCTACAAAAGATGAGCGTAAGAGAATAAAATATAGACGTTAATACTCAAAAAAGTCAACTGAAAATATCGTGTGATTGAAATTTAATAACTACTTGACTTTTTATTAAGTTTTAGAATACACGTTACTCATGTGTAACTTTTGAGATCTCGAGAATAAGAAGCGTAATCGAATGTTCTACTATTATAAAACAATCCACGAGCAGTCAAAGTTCAAACAAGTGCATTACGTCATTTTTTCTACAAAGTATAGCCTAATAAAACCCATGGTAATGGGATATAGAAAACAGAAGCTAGTTTATTAATCTCTGTCTAACACAAGTTTTCAACCTACATCTGAAGAGAAATAGAAGCAGAACTGAGCAGGTTCAGTCAGACTTGATTTGCTCAGTTCTTTATGCCTGTCATACTGTGTTAATTAACAATTCGAAAATTATATACTGAACTTGACTGATGAAATAAAAATTAGAAAACTTTTTTTCACGTCAACTTAAATCGGAACTATCGCAACAAAATCAATCGAGCTACAGAGAGCCTCTGTCTTACTTTACTCAATTGGGCTAAAAAAAATATCAATTTTTTAACTTTTAATTAGAAAACTACGGTAAGTACTAGCTAGAAAAATGATTTTTGAAGATTTCTTCAGAAATTTCTAAAGATCTGCTTTTAAAATTTTTTTCTCAAACATAAGTTCGACCATTGTCGATAATCTATCGATGGTAAAAATTTGAGCTCGACCTGTTGTACTTTCGTGAAGAATCACAAATAGTTCAAAAGAGGAGGATATTCCTTCAGCAGTCCATGATGATTTTGTCAAAATTGATTTCAAAATCCTATCTTGATGATCTATTTTAATTGCATGTACCAGTGTATTGATGATAAGAGATGGTACGTTGGAAAAAAAAAACTTTCTTAGTTCCTATTGTAATTATCAAAAAAAAAATTTTTATGTTTATTTACCAATTGTTGATCGTTTTCCATCATTTGGCATTCTATGACGATTTTCACTTGTACACCATGATGTTAATGTTCGTATCAATGAAAAATCTTTTGGTGTTAAATTTAATCGATGAAAGAATTCTTTTCCAACATAATCATTCCACAATAAACGATGATGACAACATAATGCAATAATAATAGCTCGAATATTGTGACAATTACGTTGAGCATCAACAGCACAACGTAAAGCAAGATCAGTTGCACCACCACATAAATGTTTACTTATAATAACAACATGTTTTTCTAATTGATTATTTTTTATAGAAGGTAATTCAGATAAATAAAGATCACGAATATCAAGTCGATAACGTTCAAATGATGGACCTTGATGTTCATGACGATGATGTGCATCATAACGATAACGTTGATGATCACGTTCAATAAGTGCAAAATTAACTGATGATTCTTGTTTTAAACAAGCATGAAGTTCATGAGATAATTGACCACGTCCAGCACCCATTTCAACAAAACATGTATTTGCTTGAAGAAGATCTAATTGAACTATATGAGCTATTAATGATCCAATTTGTTGTAAATGTTTTCGTGCACGATTTCCAAGTTCATTAACATTTACATTTGACAAGTAATAATCAAAATTTGTTTGTTTATTTTCTAGAGGTTGTTTAACAAGATTATCATGTATAGTTTCCATACGAATAATAAATTCTTGAAGTTCTTCATCAGTTATTTCTTGTAAAATTGTTGGATAATCATCATGATTATCACATTCAAGACCCGAATTACAATTAGGTCGATGAAATGGACCAAGAATAATAGGACGTTGATTACATTTACGAATATGTCGTTGTAGATCATGTGGTGATATCGAATGTAAAGGATTTAATGGACATGGAATACGTAACGAATTCTTCGTAGTCTAAAAATAAATTAGAGTACTTTTTTGTTTTGTTTTGTTTAATTGGAAGATGAAATTAAAGATGCAATTCAATCTGTTAATTTTATTATATTGATTTTTCACGAAGACAATATAAAGTTGTTTTCTGATCATTTCAATTTTCATTTAGTGTTATTCAATTTAATTTTATTTTCAAGATTTTCTACGCAATCTTACTTTTCTTTGTTCTAGTTAATATTGTAAGAAAATTCTTTCCTAGCATCTTCACAGTTTGTCAGGATTGGAAGTACATGAGAAAGGTTGTATCATTCAAGAGATATGACCTAAAAAAAGTGCTCGTGGTGGGCTATATAAATCGAAAAATCGAGTTTTTCTAGGCCATGGTCAGAAAAACTAAAATCACCAGAATAGAACCTGATCAGGAGCAAAAAACTTCGTTCTGTACATCTTTAGTCTTGAAATACGAAAAGATGTGCCCAAATATAATAACAAGCCTTCCTTGTGTTCTCTAACTTCAATATATTTTCAATATGTAAATTAGACCTATAGAAACTGCTGTTACTCATATCTTTGCTCTATATATATTTAACAAAATCCTTGAAATGAAAATGTGTTGAACTTTGTATTTGAAACTTGTAAATAAAGACAAAAGAAAACACTTTATCACAGTTAGACATCAGAAAAACTTATTCGAAATCTAAAACGTGAGTACTATGAACGATAGATACTGATGTTTATTTTACTTTATTAACTAAAAATGAAAAATGATCGTTTTGAAACTATAGTTTCGAAGAGTTTTGTAAGACTATAGATCTATTAGAAGATCCGAAATTTTCTATTATGTCTTTAAAAAAGCCTTTTATGATATTCTTAACGACAATGTCTAATTTCTACCTTATTTTTTTGTCAAATTCATTGTTCGCGAATGAGTTCATTTTATTTGTTCAACAATCTTATAATGGAAAATAACAGATAATACAACACATCTTAATCGAATTTTCCTTCTTGTTTTCCTCGCTTAAGTTCACTGCAGTTTTTTTTTCGATAATTGGTACATAGCACAAAAGAATGAAAAGATGGTATTGCTTTTTACAATAAGAGTAAATCGAGTTATTGTCTTTCCTTTATTTTTGTATTTATGAACAAATATTACTTCAACTATCGATTGAGTATTTATGGAGATATACAGATTGAAAAAAAAAGAACTTTTTTAATACTCATACAAACATTGAAGCTACATATGTTCATAGTACAAAAGTAAAAGAGAGAGATAAAAAACTCCGCTTACTTTTATTATACATTGTACTAAATAAATATGTCATCGTTTTTCTGATGTATTATTTCTTCTGTGAACTTTGTGCTATCTATGATTAGTTTATGAAGCAATGTAGTGATGTTTATATTTTATCACTGTATATCAAGTGTAAAAAAAATCCAAATTGCAGTGGACTTAATCAAGAAAAGAAGAAAAAGAAATCAAATTTAATTCAGACTTGCTGTATGTCATTTCAAAAGATTTAGTAAACGATTTCAAATGACGTTTTTATGAAAAAATGTTAGCAGGGCAAACTATTTTGTTCTGTTCATTTATTCAAGAAGAAAAATTTTCTAATAATAAATTGAAAGCTTTACTTATCTATTGATAATTAACTACTTTATTTGTTAGAAGTAATTTATTTATTTTACCTCGTCTATATCCGGATCATAAAGTACATGTTCCATACAATACGTAGACAGAGGTGTAGACGGAAACATTTTACATTGTCGTTGTTTTCGTGGACATACATATTGACATCGATTAGAAACTTTTTCATCCGTCATTATCTAAAACAATGAAAAAGTTATTTTGATTTTATTCAATTTTTCGATTCATTAAAATAAATGTATCAAATGAAAGATCAAGTTCATATTCATCATCAAATATATCAAGACATTTAAATATTCTAAAACAAAAACAAAAAAAAAAAATCAAATATATTCTGTCATTTATTGACTTATTTACTTACTCCAACTGAAGATTATCTAAAATTGTACTTTCTGGATGTTGTTTTAGAAAATGTTGAGTCCCGGACCATGATGTTATATAACCTAATAATCTTCGAATTGACCATTTACATTGGATTATGACACTTTCATCTCTATTACATTTACAAGAAGTTTTTTTTTATTGTTTTTTATTTATTTTAATTCAATTTACCGAATAAAATCAGTTGATGAAAGTGGAATATGAAATTTCTCATCTCGATAACGACCAAAATAAACTTCTTTACTTTCCTTCTGAACATATCCATCAAGTGTATTTTGATAAAACTAATCATCAAAAACAAGTTTTTTGTTTTTGAAAGTTTTATTATCCTCTTTATAATATACATTCGTTATAATTTCATTCAATCGTTCTGATTGTCGACCATATATTTGCACAAATGCATAACCAAACAAAGCAAGTACACCATTTATTTTAAGAGTTCGTTTAACTTCATTATAAAAATGAGGAAGATCAAACCAATGAGCTGCTTGACCTGATATAATTATAGTTAATGATGAATCTTCATGTGGAATGTCATTGCCGATAATAACTCTATAAAATAAAAAAAGGATTTTTATTTGGTATAATTATCATATGTTTTATATTAATCAAAATACTTATAATTAATATTTGAATGCGTATTATCTTCATTGGCTTTGTTTATTTGATATTCACTAATATCATAACCTAGGAAAAAAAGATGACGATTTGAATTCAATTGAAATTTTCATACCGATTATTCGTCGAAAATATGGAGCAAGTAAAAGTGTACTCTGACCTGTTCCACAACCAATATCTATAGCTAAATCATCATCCTTTATAGTGTGCTATCAGATAAATATACATATCAAAGCTAGTTTATTTTTTTATTTTGAAAATACTATACTTTGACAGATAAATAATCAAGAATTTTCTTTATAATATCAGTAGAATATGTCGGTCGACATTGTGCATAAAAGTCACTGTGTGCAGTAGTTTCAAAAAATCTTTTTGACATATCTAAAGTAAATAGTTTATCGAGATTTCTTATTGTACGAGTTTACTATTCATTTATTTTGATTTCATTTGAATAAATTTAACCATATCTCTTCAATATATAATCAAGAATCAATAACTAATATAATCAAATCTAGATTATGAACATCAAATTATAATTAGTTACTCTAGCTGCATTTCTTTCAAACTCAAGGACATATAATTATTTTGAATCATTTCATTTATCTTGAAAAATAGATATATGTGTAGGGTAAGCATTTTTTGTATCGTCAGCTACCAAGTAGAGTAAAGAACGATTGAACTGCAACTCTTACTGTATATTTCTATTAACCTGTGCTGATTTATACCCAGGCAGAGAATTGTTTCATTCAATAAAAAATCTGTAGAATGATTTAGACATGATTCTATTATACTAGGTGGGTAAAAATATTATTCCACAAGAGTAACGCTATGATTTCAAATAGCAATCATAACAAATTTTATACCAAATTAAAGCGCGCCCAAAATGGGGTTTATTAGTGCCAAATAGTAAGAGTTATCAAAACTTTTCAATGTCGAACTTAGTAACTTTTTAGAAATTTTCCACTTTTTTGGCATAGAAAATTAAGGCGCCAGTAATTTGAAAATGAAGTAAACATTTTTTTTTTTGGATATTTTTACACGATTTGATAGAGCTCGTCGAGCTCTACAAAACTGTATATATTAGAAATTCTTTAAGCCATTTTTCTGAGATAAGCAAGTCAAAAATCTCCTTGGAAAATATTAAAAAACTCATTTGTTTTTTAGATGAAAGAAAAACATTCAATTTCTCAATAGAATTAACTTTTCTCATGATTTTTACAGCTAAAAACGCTTTGGAATATACTCATTAGACACAATTTTTAACGCTGCATCTGATGAATTTATTTCAAAGCATTTTTAGCTGTAAAAATCATGAGAAAAACTAATTTTATTGAAAAATCGAATGTTTTTCTTTCATCTAAAAAAGAAATTTTAACCATTTTTTAATACTTCTCAAGTAGGTTTTTGAATTATTTATCTCAGAAAAATGGCTTAAAGAATTTCTAATATATACAGTTTTGCAGAGCTCGACGAGCTCTATCAAACCGTGTAAAAATATCCAAGAAAAAAAAATGCTTACTTCATTTTCAAATTACTGGCGTCTTAATTTTCTATGCCAAAAAAGTGGAAAATTTCTAGAAAGTTATTAAGTTCGACATTGAAAAGTTTTGATAACTCTTACTACTTGGCACTGATAGGCCCCGTTTTTTATGCGCTTTAATTTTGTATAAAATTTGTTATGATTGCTATTTGAAATTATAGCGTTACGCCCATGGAATAATATTTCTATCCACCTAGTACTATGCATAGGAAAAAAAGATAAAGAATTATTGAGATCAAGATTTAGAAACTCATCCTATACTATTAATGAATTCAAGTAAAATTAAACACTTTTTGTCCACTCAATATTTTTTAAAATACATAGCTTTCTTTTTTTTTTCTTTGATAAAAGATTTCTGTATTAACAAATAACAACATTGAACAAAACAAAAAGTTTTACAGAACACAGTACAAAACGATTAAGTGATCACTTCATTGTCACTCTCCGTATCATGATTTTGCATTTGTACTCGACTCTGGCAAAAAAAGAATCAAATATTAAATTTCTTATTCATTTTTAATAAACTTACTGATAGGACATCGGCTAATTTATTAATATCACGTTCTCGAGATATATCAGCTATATCTTTTGGTACTGCATATTGTGTATAACTATTTGGTTTAATACCAATATGTGAATTGACATAACGAAATTCTGGCTTTTCAATGTTGTTCTAGAATAAAACAGAATGCTACAAAAAGAAAATATAAATATATTTACTTGTAATGATAAAGTCAATATATCAGGCCAATCAAAAAGTAAACTATCGGTCATTGGACCCCATGGATTAAAATCAATGATATATAATTTATTCTGAAAAACAAGAAAAACAAAATATGATTTCATAAAGTTGTTAATTTTAAAAATAGATATATTTACAGAATCTTTACGGTAAATATCAACAACAAAATCAACAGATGGAAATTTGTTTTGAATATGAGTATTAAAAAATTCAACTATATTAGTCATTATTTGATTAGCTGATGGTTCAATAAAATCATAATAATTTTCACTATCACGTTGACTAATAGCTATAATAATATTAATATTAATGATCAATAATAATTTAAAACAAAAGATCCCGTCAGATTGGGTGACCTTTTTTGACTCCGAATATCATATCTGTGGTCTTGTAGAATAGTTAGAAATGTATCGAATGGTATATAAGACTTCGAATTTTCTCAAAGTTTGGTGTGTTGAGGGTTCATATAATGATCCTATTCCGTGAGGAATATATATGGTATCCATAGACATTGTGGTATCTAAAACAAACCTGTACACATTTTGTTTTTAGACTCAGATAGACACCGTTATAGGTACTCTTCAACAGTTTTCATCGATTGTTTCTGCATACTTCCGATATATTTCACACATAAAATCTTTTGGAACAGCAGGGACTCATTATCAATATCTGAGATTGTTCAATAGAATAGCCTATTTTCCTATACGAAGGAGTCGATGTTATAAAAAATACTCAACGATCCTACTAAAAATTTCATGTACCAATATCAGCACAATATCCTTGATGACCTGATGTAAATAACTTCTTTATAAATGCTTTAAAAAACTTTTCACTTCTAGACCCTTGAAGGGTGATCTAACAGTATATAGGCCTGCTATTATTTTTTTTCGAATTTCTATTCCGAGTATATAGATTTGATTTATACATGAAATTCTACTAAAATATTTAAATATTCCATATTGATTTTAAAAATAATTTTTTTTCGTTTTATGTAGAAGTTATGTGTATCAGTTCATTAGATATGTTGTACTGAGTATTGGTACATAAAACTTTTAATAAGATCATTGAATATTGTTAAAATATAGTCTATATATTGGCTTCTTTATCTAGGACAACAGACTATTCGATGGAATCATCTCAAAATTTGACAATGAGTTCCAGTTGTTTCAAAAGATTTTATTTGTGAAGCAGGTAGGGCTTGATAGTATTCAATTTTTGAGAAAGTTTCAAGTTAGTACACACTTGTTCTGTTGCAAAGAGTTGCACACACTAAATATCATATAGATGAAAACTATTGTAGAGCATCTATAACTCTATTGAATAGAGTTTAAAAACAAAATGTGTATAAATTTATCTTAGGGACTACACTGTCTATGAGTACCATATATATTCCTTAAGGAACACGATCAATATATGAATCTTCAACACAGCAAAATTTGAGAAAAACTCAATTTCTTATAAACTATTTGATGCGCAGTAAATTGAAGTACAAGATAACAGATTATGATGTTCTGATTCAAGGTAGGTCACGAAATAGGGTAGAGTTATTTTTTCAAATATTTTAAGAATTGCCGAAAACATACCAATAATTCGATGATTTTTTACAAAACATCGAAATTCTTTTGATGGATGTAAAGCTGACCATTTTCTTAATACAAGGACATATTGAATTGTTGATAATGAATTATTAGTATCATCATGACAAAATTTAAATCTATGTTATCAAATGACATTAAGTAAAGTAAATGCAAAAAAAAAGAATTTTTTTGTTTTGCTTACGGTTCACAAAGATCATGTGTGATGAAATCAGAACTTTTCAATAGTAAAAAAATATCAGCTAAATTCATACATTTTAATCGACTGTCACTAATCATCCATCGAGCATCCTATATAAATAAAATATTTCGTGAGAATGAATAACACGTGATCAGAAAAATTTTAAGACAAAATGTTTGTTCATTTTTTGTATAGATTAAAAAAATTTCTACCGACTACATTGAGGGTGTGAGCTATGATATAGATATATTCTAAAAAAATGAACATTAGTCCTCACATGTATCCTACATTATTATTGTTTTGTGACAGCTTGAAAAAGTTCACTCTATCTTTGTTAACATATTTCGCTGGAATGTTGTGCTCTTTTCGAATAGGGTTTTTGAAATTTTACCTCAGTCTTTGTATTCTAACTATTGTGATTCGAAATAAAAAGTTGTGATCTCTCTTTATACATTGGTTTGTAGCTCAGAAGCTATTCAACAAAATACACTATTTTTGTCTTTCAACAAGGTACCCCAATTTTCGTTTTTCCTAAATACTTATTTTTGAAAAATCAACAACTGTTTTACGTTAAATGGAGCTCATGAAAAATGCTTCGATGAAACTACGGCTTAGTTCAATTTCACATTTTGTAGAGAAGTGTTTGCTCTACAAAACAAGAGTCTCCGACAATTTTTAACATGTGTGAAAAGGGACTTCTAGAATATACGAAAAATCTGTTGGTTCACTAATAAAAGTAATTTTTAAAGTCTTTCAAAAATTCCTGCATTATTCTTGAACAAAAATTGTTACAACATTTCTAAGTTCATATTCGAAAAGAGCACAAAATTAATGTCCTAACTCATCAGAAATACTTTCTAGAAGGTCTATAATGAACAAACATATTGTATGAAAATTTTTCGATCATCCGCTATGTATATTACTTTTGGACTACTCCAATTTAATTTTGGAAATACAGCATCATATTGATCTAGTACATTTTTAATTTTTTGTTCGAATTCTGGAAATGAAATCTTAAAATAATTTCATTATAATTGTATTAATGAAAATGTGTTATCAAACTTTTTTCGTTGAATCATTATCAGCATCTTCATCGGACCACTATCAAGAAAGAAACAATAGAAATAATTCATATTAAGACATTCTTACATGATCTTCATCATCGGATGATTCAGCATTAGCTTGACGCATTTCATCCATTGCTTCATTTGCACTAAAACATTCACACTGAAATTAATGCAATATACAAAACAAAGTATAGTAAACCTAGTTGGTAGATAGAATTCATCCGATCGAAGATATTGCAAGACATCATCAGTTAAATTAAGAATAACACTGAAATAATAAAGTCATGTATTTATTCGTAAAAGAAAAAAAAATTGATTACCTTTTAATAGAATGTTTTTCAAATATTGGATACCAAACTGAAAAAGAACAATTTAAAACATCTTGAACACTAACACGAGGAACATCAGTAGCCATATTGAATATCTAAAACATGATCAATAAGGTACAAATTATTTTCCATTATATAATTTCTTGAAAAATGAATATTGGAATAATTAACTGTAGACTATATATGTACGAAACCAGTTATTTTAGGTCCCAGAATCGGGACAATCTTGTCCTTTTCATCTGATTTAAATAGGACAAAACCTGCCTATAAACAGTTCGCTATACCATCGTAGTTTGATACTTAAGCAAATGACTATTCTCTGACTGGCAATCTACAAGCATTTTGTCGTACAGATAATGTTTAACAAATATTACTGGCAAGTTATATGTTTGTCTCACTAATGGACCGCATCTGGTCGATTAAGATCGAGTTCGGATCTAAAACTGTTGAGCCTGATGGACTGTAGTCATCTAAGCAACGTATAGGGTGCACTAGTTACAGAATACAAACTATCGGAAAAAAATATCTTTGAGACGGCTATCCGGTTTTGATTAGAAAATTTCATTGAGTATCAAAGTACGGTTCAACTTGGTCCGAAAATTTTGAACTCAGGGAGTTCTACTCACTAAAGAAATTTCACCTATTACCAAGTAAGAAATAATACACATGAAGTGTTGCATAGATAATTTTCAGTTGTTATCTAAGAAAAAGACATCAAAACGAACTTTTTAAATGATACTATATTGATGCATATGAAGCAACTGTTCCAAACTAGTCAGTTTGAATGCAGAAGTTTGTGTCTCATTGCAGTTCTTTAGACATCAACTTCTTTGCAAAAGCTAGTATTTGATGTTTGGAACATTCAAATTTTTGTAATCTTTGACTTTTAAACTATTTAGTTTTGAATATTTGCCCTATATGCATCGATATAGTATCATTTATAAAGTTCATTTTGGTTTCTTCTTATTCTTTTGGAAAACGACTGAAAATTATCTATGAAATACTTTAAATGTATTTTTCTTAATTGACAGTAATATTTCTTAATGTTATTTACAAGAAAAAAAAGCTTCAAATTAGCTTCTATCACAAACTAAAAAAGGAGCACATTCAAACGAACTGAATTGAAGATATATTAATTTTTATCATAGTCCTAATTTACAACTCACCCTGTAAATCGCGGTATGAAAAGAAATACCAATGAAATATACAAGAAACAATTACATGATCTATTTTTAGGAAAAGTTTAAACCTACATTTTTTTTCTTCATTAAAATGACTCTTCTTCGTCTTCTTATCAATTCAGATATTTATTTAAAAAACTAATGTCTGATGCAATTATTGAAATTTTCAATTTCTCTTACAGCAGTCTTGTCTAACTTTGCTTGCCTGCCGTAAATAATTAAATATCATTGGTTAAAATTTCATTCAATCACATTCATAGAACAATTTATAAATATTCAACATAAATTGAATTCTTTAGTTTAGAAAAACATATTTACAAATTTTTTTTAATGCGAAATTCAATCTTATTGTTACATACGTAAAAGATACAATCAATTGAAAACAGCAAAGTATTGAATCATAAACAAACTAATCATCGTATAATTGTCACCTATGGTAGAATTAATTTTCTCTATTTTTTATCTATTTAAGTCAATAAGTCATCCATTTTCTTTCATCGCATACTTTAATAGTATGATCAAGTGTGACTTAAGCTGGACTCCGCTCTATCATCAAAAGAATGAGAAACACAATATTCACACTCATTGACCTCATATGTTATACATAGCTCTACAAGATCATTGAGTTCTGTCCTATCGTACATGTTTTTCTAGTTACGCCACTAAAATAATGTTTATTTTCAAGTTTTAGAAAAAACTAAAAACATGAGTATTCAATGGACTTTCCTTGCAACATTTCTCTATTGTGAATTGATTATTGTTATTATTCTACTTCTACCATTTATTCGACCAACTATGTAAGTTAATAATACATTCTATCAAATTCAAACATAATTCTATTTTTTAACTTTTAGTTGGGAGAAATTTTTTAAATCAAGACTTGCTAAAGCATTTACAGCAGGAGCTAAATATTACTTTAATTTTATTATATGTGTTTTTACTTTACTTTTTCTTGGTAAAAAATATTTAGATATTTTTTTTAAATAGTTTTATATTTTCTTAGATGCAATTCGTGAACTTCGTAAATATGCAAATGTTGATGAGAAAGATTTATCAATGCCACAGGCTGAAACACAAGCACATATGAAACAATTTCGTTCGCAAAGAAATTTTTATATTGCTGGTTTTGCTCTTTTTCTTTGGTTGTAAGTAAAAATTATTTTTTTTAATCTATAAATTGAGAATTTTTGCTTTTTTAGTGTTATTAAACGTTTAATAAATCTGTTAGCGTCATGTGCTCGTGAAATGGCAGCAGCAGCTGAAGCACATAAACAAGCTGAAGGTGCAAAACGTCATTTAGAAGGAGTTATGGCTAACGATCCAACTGTAAAATTTGAAAAAAGATAAAGAAAAAACAAACCGTTATTTTTATATTTAGAAAATTGATCCACGAGAAATTATAGCATCACATGGTAATCCACCACGATATGTTGATTCAAAAGAACATGATGCTGAGATCATAGAATATAAAAAAGGTTTGTTAAAAAACAACAATGACAAAGATGTTTTGAAATTATAATTTCTTTTATAAATCTAATAGAATTAACTAAAGCAAAGGAAGATATTGATACATTACGTGACGAATATGACAATTCTGTAAAAAGATACCATGAGCTTGAAGAAGATAATCGACGATTACAAGTATATTAATATAATTTTCTAGATTAACAAAATAAAAAAAAAAGTATTTTTTTAGATTCAACTAGCTATGTTATCTGGTGACGAATCATCAAAAGACAAATAAAGCAATCTATGCTATTTTACTATGCTTTGAACTGTAGAAAGCTCTTTTTGAATATTTATTTTAGCGTTCGTACGATAGCTCTCTTTGTCTAGTTTTTCATTCTCATTCTCATTAATATTTTTTACACATAATCCCGATATACATATTTTGTTAAAATAAATTAAACCAGCTGAAAATATCACTTTCGATGATCAATAAATGGTAAAATAATTTTATTTTGATTATTATTTTTATGTTTTGCAGGAATTTTGCTTTGAGTGGACTCAGCATCTTAAACTATCAGAATATCAAAAGATGTCATGGAAGTTTTTCGAACTATTTGACTTGTTAAGAATACTAGAGTCAAAATTGACAGGACTAATTCTAGATGAAATCGTTTATCCGTTTTATATTAATTGAAATTTTATTTTGTCGAAAATTGAGATTGCTACGCATCACATTTATGTAGTTCTTTGCAATTTTTCTTTTTCAGTTTTACTTACTGGACAGAAGCATCGAAAGTTATAATTTCTATTACGATGATTTCGAGAACGCGCAGTCACAACATTCGCAGATAGACATTCTTGTGCTGTCTGATTCGGACATCAAAGAAGATAATAGGTTTATAGGAAATCTTTTTCAGTTAAATTTTTATGTTCGATCTACAAAGACGTAATGCGTAAAAATTGACTATATATTTAGTGCGATTTGTATTTTGGCTGTTGCTAGGACTATGATACGCTCTCTAGTCCTGTTATTCATATCGGTACCAAGATATATAACTTAAATAATGTAATTCATTTCAGTTTCAAATAAACGAGTTCCCTACAGGAAAAAATTCCCTATAGATTCACGTTGTTAAAACGACTGTTACGTTCATCGATGCATGAATAAGACAGTATGTCTATCTGTGAAATTGATATATACATAAGAGATGAGAAAGACTATTTTCTAACATGAAGTTTCGATTCAAATACAATATCGTATGTACATTGCACTGCTCTTTCTACGGATACATTGAACATCAAAATTATCTAAGCTTTATAGAAATAGCATAGAGTGCATAGTTGTTGTATTGATTCATCTGTTATAACAAAAATGTCGACTTAGAACAAATGCGTAACAACTTGCAAAAATAAATAGTTGAATATGTTTGAAAGAATGAAAAAACCGGCATGTTGTGATTGTATCATCTATAAAAACTAAACAAGTCAATGAATGGTTCTGAAAGCTTTTAATAGTAGATTACAGACTCTATGTTGTTCTTTGGCGAAACCCATATAATTCTAAGATAAAATTATCTACTATTTGAATAATTTTGATATCTACTGTATATATATATCATGAATAAAAGTGGAATATTAGCTTCCTTTCATTAATATTCACAAGATCAGTCTGTTTAATCAAAGTTCAGAAAACATTTTTTTTTCTATTATTTCATTCTTATCTGCATCTTATTAATTATTCTGTAAATCGTAATAATAACGTTAGATAAATACATAGTCATTAATAAATATATTGTAAAATTTTGCTATGTTTTTCGTACATGTTCGATTCTTCTTATGAATTTTGAGCATCAAGAGAACTGCTGCACTTTATCTGGTAATAATCATTGATAAAATTAATGATTTTATTAAGAAAAAAAAAATCTGTATATAAGAAAAGTAGTTATGTTCTTTTATTAATGATAATCAATGGGCACCTTTCATAATTGGTGTTTTTTCATTGACTATTATAGTAGGATAACTTCGTCGTGGTTTTGAACAAAACAAGCAAGTGATCATCATCAGACATAGTAAAAATACCACAATTACTACAATACCAGTAATCGTCCAAAAACCCCATCTAAATGGACGTGGTTTTGGTTTAGTACATCCATTCCAGCATGCACAAGGACTTGTTAATTTCATGACATATTCACCAACAGATGTTTCACCAAGTACTTGAAGATGATGAGATGATAATGATCGATCACAAACAAGTTGTACACTTAATCGTCGATTGTGTGATAATGATGGATAAACAATCCCTGGAACAAAATTTTTTGTATTATTCATATTTACCCAATAAGCATATTCTTGTAATCCTATTGTGTAACTGATACTATGAGTTTTATCAACTAATGAGAAAGAAATATATAAAATTTCAAATAAAAAATAAATTTAATATTTTACTTTGACATCCAGCTACATTTTGACAGCTATCTTCAGAAAATTTGTAACATGGATTATAAGACCAGACAAAATTATTTGGAAACATTGATGTAACATCTTTGAATGTTGGCGTACCTGTCATGCTACCAATAGATGATAAATCAATTGTACCATATCGAGAATCATGAAAGTGACATTCATTAAAATATATCGAAGGTGTTGTCACTGATGATGTTCCTATAAAATTGAGCACAAAAATATTTTATTGTATTAGCTATCATTAGAAAAAAACCTACTAGAAGTAGTAGTGCTCGGTTGTGGACTAGAACATCCATTCCAACAAGCACAACGTGATCGTAAACGCATGAAGTAATGGTTAACACTATATTCACCAAGTATTTCAAATTCATCTTCAACAACCGCCGAACAAATCATTGTTATAGAAACTGTTTTCTCACCATAAGTATATGTAAGAACAGGTGCCATGCTTGAGTCCATTGTCCATGTAGAGACATCTTGTGTACCTAATGTAAATGAATGTTTGCGATCAGAAGATACTAAAAACAAAAACAACGTCAATGTATTAAATAATTTATCTAGTTAAAATATAATATTTATACGTACTTTGACACACAGCTGCATTATAGCAACTATTTTCTGTAAATGAATAACATGGATTGAATGAATACGTATAATAGGAACTTGTTGGAGTTGATAAATCTCGAAAACGAGGTTCACCATTTTGTAAACCAATGGATGATAGATTAATAACACCTTTAGTTGGATGTTCAAAAATACATGAATTATCTGCTAGTGTTGCACTACAGAAACCAATGATAAGTAGAATATTAACAATATGCATTTTATTAAATACAGTGAATTTTTATTTGTTTTTAGACAAAATAAATGTGTCTATTGTAGTTTTTTTTATCGACAGTGTTATCTTGTTATTACACAAAACTTGATGATAATGACATTATATAGTTTGTATTGGCCTTATTGATAAGAAAACTTATATTTAACCCAGGTAGATCTATTACTAATTTTTAACAAGACAGCACCCTTTTTTTGCTTTTCAGTTCTGACTGATTATCATCTACTTGTTTTTTCTTATCTAATTTTTCTCAAATAGAAAGATATATTTGTAGTTCGAGAAGATATTGTGTTTGTGTACACTAGAAAACAAGTCATTGTTGGAGAAGTTTCCCAAGTAGTGACTCGCTATTTCATTGGAAATACATATATATATACGATTCACTAGATCGATTCTAAATATCATATTCCTAGCCGCTCATATATCTTTCCAGATTCAGTATTATAATTATCAATTCTCTTCTAATAGAGGTGTTTTTTTAATCAAATTCGATATTTAGTTCTTTTACTATGTGTTTGTTACTAGATGCAATACCACTAAAAATACTTTATTTTACAACTCTCGTAATCTTTTATGTCAGATACTAATCTATAAAATAGCAAAGTAGTTCGTACGCTACTTGTGATCAGTCATCCGACATGTATTCATAAACTAATAATAATTACTATTGCTGAATATGAACTGGAAGAATGTTTGTCATTCAGTTAATACTTATTATCGTGATAGCTTAAAAATTATACACAATCTATATTAGAAAAAAGTCATCTTTTTTTCTCATGTGATGTTATATATAGGAGTAGAGAAAGAAAAAATTACAAGAGATAGAAGTCGAAAAATCGCATATCTATCACAAGATAAACGAGAGCGTAGTTAATGTGTTACATCTAAATACTAGATGTAATTAAAGTTTCTACATTATTAATGTAAAGAATGAGCACAGATCATTAATCAATACATAACTATTGAGTCAACTGTATCATATGTAATTTAACGTTGTGGGATAAATAAAAATTTGAAATGCACAATTCGGATAATGAAAGTATAGTCAATATCAGTTTCAAAATAAAACCTAAAAAAAAATACTTTTGTATACTTAGTCTTTTCTTTAATGTACGTTGACACAAAGGAAACGGATAAGATATTGTATTTAATAAAAAAAAGCGTCACAATTAACGGGTGGTCGGGAAGTTTTGGCACAAAATGTTTGTTCATTTTTGACCCGCTTGAAAATATTTCCGACGAGTCAAAATCTATGCGTTAGAACCAGAACTGTGTGCTCTTTCCAAATATGGACTTAGAAATTTTGTGTCGGTTTTTGTTTGAGAGTTGTGAAATAATCTTTGAAAGGCCTAAACAATTGGTTTGAACAGAATTTTTTTCCACACATTTTTGGATTTTCACTTTTGGGATCCAAAACTAAAAGTTAGAACCTTTGTTATTATACCAGCTTGTAGAGCAAAATCTACTCTACAAAATGTAGTAGTTGAGTTCTTTTTGCTTTTCGATAAGGCTTCTGAATTTTCGTGTTTCCTAAATTGTCATTTTTGAAAAATCGACTTTTTGACCAAAAAGCGTTTTACGTGGAAAAGAGCTCTTGGAAAAATGCGTATAGCTTTCATTGGGTAAAAGCTACAATTTAGTTCGCTATCACATTTTGTCAAGAATTATTCCCTCTACAAAACTACCGTATCCGACAATTTTTAGCATCTTTGCAAAGGGATTTATAAGGGTCAGCAAAACCTGTTTGTTTGCAGTCCAAACTAATTGTTTGGACCTTTCCAAGATTATTTCACAACTCTCAAACAAAAACCGACACAAAATTTTCTAAGTCTATATTCGGAAAGAGCACACAATTCTGGTTCTAACGCATAGATTTTGACTCGTCGGAAATATTTTCAAGCGGATCACAAATGAACAAACATTTTGTGCCAAAACTTTCCGACCACTCGTTAGAAGAGGATTGATTAGCCATTATGTAGAATCTTGACTGATCGATGAGCTGTTAGGACGATGATATTTGGAATTAGCACAGTGAACTTCATACAGTCATGTATGATTCGAGTAACAAAGCGAGTTATCACTTAGGAGACTTCTCTTGTCAGATATATATTTCAAATCATTCATATTGACACTTTTTCGCGAGGCGGAAATAGCAGAGACTTTAGTCTTGAAGTTTGATATTATTCCCTCAACTTTTCGTCTTAAATTCATTCGAAACAATATGTTTGAGCTCTCTCTCTCTTATTCTGTTTGATGAAAGTGGATTTTAAACGCAACTTTAATATATTTTTTTATCAGATATTGATCAAAAATGAAATTATATAACTCCAGCAAAAAAATAATGTTACATGTGGGACAAAGAAAGTAATGAAGCTAATTATGTTGTAGCAATGGAAAAATAGAGTCTTTGTTGTGATGTATTCATTAACGGATGAGAATAGGGAGAATTTTGTAATAGATCTTAATACATGTCGAATTTACAGATGGCTCTGACGAATAGAACAATTCTTATGGTGATGATCAGGTTGCTCTTAATATCTGATTCTACGTAAAATTCATAAGAGATGTTGGTTGTTGTATTAGTAGTTATGACCCAGTCATTTTACTCCAAAGAGAAGCTACACCAGAAGAGGGTTGCGCTGTTGGATGTCCGGCAGGATTCATTGGAGGAGCAGGTGGTGGTGGCGGTGGTGGTGGTAGTGGTGGCGGCATTTGGCTTCCAGGAGGATTTGTTGGAGGAGTTGCTGCTAACATTTTGCTCCACATAGAAGTTGGTGCAGGAGCTGCTGATGATGGTTGATTCAAAGTTGGATTTACAGGAGGTGGCGGACCTTGTTGTGACGGTTGACTCATCATATTCCACATACTTGCCACGGCAGAACTTGGTTGGTTAGTTCCAGCTGGCACATTATGTGTAGGAGGAAAACTTTGCATAGGCGGTTGAGTCTGTGGTGGTAGCTGATTAACATTACCACCGCCTGCGCTCATCTTACCAAACATACTAGCAAGACCACCAGAGCTTTGAGTTTGTGGTGGCATTGGTGGAGGTGCCTGTTGCATTGCTTGCCAAACATTCTTAACACTAGAAGGCTGCGATGAAGGGTAATTCTGTTGAGGTGGATATCCTGAAGCTCCTGCCATCCGTTGCCAGACATTGCCTAATAAACTGTGAAGACGAGCAGGAGATTGACCGCTTTGATCCATATCAGGACTAACTTGATCGTGATATCGATGGCGTCGACGACGACGACGTGGTGAATATCTATCATAATCATCACTGTCTGAACTTGTATCTCCACGACAAACGATTCGTCGACGACGATATGATCGGAATGGATGTCTTCGATATTCATCATTGTCTGAATATGAAGCGTCACGACAAATCAATCGCTGACGATGATCTAATCGTGAAGAACGTCTTTGATAATAATCATCTTCTGGATCTGAAGTCTCACGACACATTAATCGTCGATGATGATCTGATTGTTGTGGAAGAATGACTTCTGTTAATGGTGATGTATCTTGAGAAAAACAAATAAAAACAGAATAATTATTCATATTTTGATAATAATTATAATCATACGATAATTATGAAAAGACGAAGATCTTTGTAATGTGTGAACATCCACACCAAGTTGTCTTAAAATTGAGTCGAGCGACACATTATCTGTAAGAAGTAGTATATATTAACTGAATTTTTTTATACTAAAAACAAAAACAAACCTGAAACTTGGATGACAATAGGATTTCCATGCGGAATAGAAGGAACTTGTGGCGTACAATGCATGGTAAAAGTTGAAGGTGCATAGTTCTGTAAATTACCCAATGTTGGCGTACAATTCTATTCGATAAAAGAAATTCGTTTATATTTATAAATTAACATAGTTAATCATACTTACCAGTGATAACGTATTGGGATTGTAATTTAAAAATGGTGTTGAAGGTGTATTGTAACCAGAATAAGGAAATTCATAGACCGGACTGCCTGTAAAGTAGTCCATATTAGTATCAAATATTCGATTCACTTATTACTTCGTTTCCCTATCCAGAAAAAAAAAGAAATAATGATATAAACATATCCATTGAAGGACACACTTGTCATTGTGTTTACTACAATTTGGCCGTGATGTTTGTCACACGTCAGTAATTATTGTTTTCATATACCCAAGGTTTCATTATTCATGAGTAAAGTAGATAAAAACAAAGTATCTGTAATTCACAATTTGAGCCAAGTTGTGTGTTTTTACATAGTTGGATAAAACTCAACGAGTTACTTCGAAAAATGTTGTTTTCTGTAGGAAAATTTGGAGAGTTCGACTTGGAAAAATTGAAATACGCAAAAAATATCAAGTCAATGTAATCTTAGTACTTATACGATCTTTGTTTTTTACTCGTTCTATGGCTAGGAAAAAAAAATACGCATAATTTTTGCAAAATATTATTATGCTGTCAAGACCAATCATTTTTTTCGATATGACAACAATAACAAAGAACAAGTTCACATTCAAAGATTTCGTCCGTTAGAACTTTAGTTTCAAATGAAACGAACGTCATATACTGAATAGTATACTCAATATTTAAATCAAGTTTACATTAAAGTTCGACTTTAGGAATACTGCACATCAGATTATTCGGCAATAACAGTGAATAAGTAAAAGTATCGAAATTTTACAAAAACTAGTTTTCATTATTGAGTAAACTATTCGATGGAGATTTTCTTTGTTAATTCTGAATGTAATATTCATTTCATTTACAACAGAAGTTTTGATAATCAAAATCTCTGAATATGTACTCATATTTATAATGTTTTATCATCATATCGAAAAAATCATTTTTCTCAACAATGAAAATATGATGCATCATTTCTTTCCGTAATCATATGCTGAATAAAACCGAATATTGACGTTTGATGCTGTTGGTGTAGTTCAAATTTCATAGGCTTCTCTTATTTTTTTTAAGCTTATTTTCTAAAGTTTTGTTACAAAAAA